CAGTCAAATACAGTTGCATTTAAATGGCATGGTACATCACCATAAATTAAAGGCCCTTGCGATATTCATAATCATATGGTTGAATTTAAACAACTACAAAGCCACAAAACAAACAAAAGCCCTGAAATTATGCTGCTTGACTTTAATTACTGAATTATTGGAACAGTTTTCCAGGAGATGGGGAATTTGAATTGAGGCCGTAGGTTCTTCTGAAAGGCAGGTCCCAGCAAAGTCACTGAATTTTAGTAGAACACTGAAGGAGACTCTGTAGCTTGTGTTACTCAGTGACCACGCTACATGCACATCAGTCTCTTTTGGCTTCAAATGTATTGATTTGTACTGGGATTCATGCAGCTAGCAACAGCCCTGTGAACCCTGTGTACAGAACATGGAGCCAAACTTGTACAGCTGAGACACAGACGATGGCTTTATAGCTTATTGCAGTAGTTTAAAATGTGATGTGTTTAAAGTGCAAGAAAATATTTTAAAATCTGACTTTAGGCTGGACTTTCTCAAGTCTAATCTTAAAAGTTATTATTATATAATGTATTATGTTTGTAATTTATGAATAAAGCTGTCTTAATAGCTTTAAATTTTAATGCAGAGGATAAAAGAAAACAATTGCTGACAATGCAGTATACATCTAATTTATTAAAAGTTAATGTCTGTGATTTGATACCTTTTCTGAGTGAGTTTTATGTGTTCCAAGTACTGCAGTATCACATGCAAGAGTTCTGATTATTTCCATATTTGTCATATACTGCCAAAAGTCTTAAAGACCAGTTCAAAACAGGAAAGCTGTTTTGTCTATAGATATGCCTGGAAAGCTTTCTCCTAGAAACATATTTTAACTCCTAATGCAGCATATCTTAAGAGAATATATATTTAGACATGTACCTAACTTACCAAGTAGTGCACAAAACTGCCATCATGGCTTTCTCTCAGACTTCTGCTAGGTCAGAAGTCTTGAGATGTCTTAGTTAATTTTGAACTGATGTGAGGGTTTGTGTTGTCCTCAGTACACAAGAAGGAGATTACTTCATGACCTACTAATTTCTCATCAATTCTCTTAGTGTACTTGACTGCATTTGTTAAGAATAGTTTGAGATTTGCAAGTTGTTAATGGTCCTAGAAAGTTCTTCTATAAATATTTGATTCTTTTAACTATGCTTAACCTGGAAAGAAGAAGCCCTCTCTGGTTATTCATTGTTCACCACCTCTCACACTATCACTCAGAAATGTGCAATGAGGTTGCAAAGTGCAACAGCAGAATGCCAGCAGTAGGGCTTTATTTACTTTTCTCCTTCATGTGTCCATCTCACTGTTAGCTGTGTCTCTGGCTGTAAGAACAAAAGCAGTAGACTCAAGAGCCAAAGAATACCAGTAACCCTGCAAAGAGGAAGTACAAAATATTTAAGTAATCGTATGGAAGGTCATCCCAGCTAATATACTGCAAAGAGGATATTCTCAGGGTTCTCAATTTCTGAAGGTAAATATTGCTTGAGAATTAACACCTCTGTATGTATCCCAGGTTCCTTCCCTGCCTTGTACTTGTTCTAGATCTGACTTTGAGTCTTTACCATACTGTCAGTCGTGCATGGGTACGGACTGCAGTGAAGTAGACATTCTCCTGGGAAGCCCTTCGCAAAAACTTTGTACAAGTTAGAGATATTACACCTACCAGCTAGCATGCATTGTGTTGTGTAAATCTGGAAATGGTTCATACAGTACAGTTGAGCTGATTTATCAGTCTGATCTGTAAATAACACCAGCACTGTGATTTCCTTCATATCCTCTTTCCATTTTTTTTCCCAGCGGGATAATAGGCCTTTATTATGAACTGTGTTCTCAAATGATCTGTTCTTGTTTTGTTTTGGGGGGTGAGTTTGTTAATTTATTTGAGCAAGTTTGTCCCTTTTTCTCCTGTGGCACCATGTGAAATCACTGTAGCCATTTGCCTTTTCCTCCATGTTAGCTCTACTGTCCATCTTTAGTTGTTGTTGAACATTTTTTATAGTTTTAAATTTTAGTTAGTCTGTCCAGATCCTTCCATCGCTGTCGTTGAGCTACTTTGAAATCTCCCCAGTCTGTAAGTTCCCATCAGTATTGTGTGAAAAAAGACTGTCATATCACCGCTCAGTGACAAGCTGTACTCTGCAAGTCATCCAAAACAGTGTTGGCTGGTTTTACTGCCATATCACGTTGCAAATTGATGTCCAGTTTTCTGCTTGCTGTTTTCCCCCAAGAGTTTTTTGTTTTGTTTAACTGCTTTGCGAATATCTCCTTGTCATTTAATATTTGCATTCTGGATTATTTTTCCCTAGATGAACTGGGTTGCAGTTTTGTAGGTTGAATCCATTTCATTTCCTGCCATATTTCTGACCTCTTCAGCTTCTTTAGTACTTCACTGTCCTCACTGGAGTTTTAAACACCTTTTAGTTTGTCCTCTGCAAATACAATTTTATACGCTGCTTTTACTAGATCCTTGAAGTTAAGCAATTCTGGTTTTGCGCCCCCACATTTCGCATCTGTAGACACTTCTGTTTAATTGCTTATTTTCTGTTACCAGGCTCACCTGCTCACTTCTATTGTTAGGTTTTAAATTTATCATTGGTAACTTTCTGTTGTTCTGTTGGAGATCCTGTTCAGTTCTTCACATGTCTACTCTTGTCGTGTGAATGACTGTAGATTTTCTTGTGGTGGAAGTAGTTCCTCAGACTGGAGCCCCACACTTGTTCAGTATGGATACTTTTATCTCAGAACTTCAGAATTTGATTTTTTTTTTTTTTTGCTTGAAAATGCACTTCTCAGCTCTATTAGTTTATTAATTAGAAAAAGACACTAACCCAGCATCTAAGCACCTAAAGTTACTTCACTTTTGAATCAGACTACCCTTAAGAATGAGCACAAAACAGCCCTGTATTCCTTTCTGCCTGGTTCAAAGAGTTCGTACTGTTGTGAGTAACGAATGTGTCTAATGGGAATTTCTGTCAGAGAAGTCTGAAATAACAATTGTGTTTGCCTGTAAGTGGAATCCTGTCAAGACTGCCTTGGATATTCACTCCACCTATTTCCCTGTAAAGCTCTGTTGAAGGATTTCAAGCGATTGGGGCATCTCGGTTCCTCCTGTTTCTGGAGTATCTAAAGCCATGTGAAGTGGGGATGGAGTGCCCTATTTCACTTTGCTTCTGTATCTCTACATCTGATACAGTGACTAAGAAATCAATCTTTGGATACTAAAGCTTGTTTTTCAAGAAAGAAAAGTATAATTTGCAGAGTGACAAACACCTTCTTTTGCCTTTTTGTTCTGAGTCCAGGAAGGAAGGGTAGTAGAGAGAAACCCAGGAATTTCTGTATGTGAGAAATGCACTGGCTGTTACTGGACTGGTGGGTGGCCAGGGTTTTTTTTTTTTTCCCCTCTGTTTCTTTGCTCCCTCCTTCAGGACTGACAGACTGGGCTGCCTTTCTCCTCTAGGACAAATTGCTGAGGAATAATTACTTGGGAGCACAGCCCGTGTTCTGCACAGTAAAGCAGAATTTGCTATGCATGGCTGAAGAAAATAGCCCTGATGCATGCGGGTTTTTTTTAATCCATGGGGTATAGTAAAAGAAGGGGAAACCTTTAAAACATGCAGGTTGCTTAATCTTATTGTATTGTAGGGTTTATAATTCTAGAACTGCATATATAAAAGTGGCAGTTAATTTCCAGAACAATACACGGTTCATTTCCCGAAAGCATTGTTAGCTGTTTAGCACCCAAAAGAAGCTCAGATGATGCAGAGAATCCAAACTCTGCATGAACGTATCCTTCTCCCTTTCCTTTTTACTGGGATGAATGGATGTAAATTGGTACCAGCTGTAAAACCAAACAATAATGCCTCTTTATGCACTGCTGCAAATACCTTTACTTCTGAATAGTATTTTGAGGAGGTTATTGTTAGATATATTTGTTACTAGGTATCATGTAAAATGCATTTGGAATAGTTGTGAAATCAGTTGTCTTTACAGGCAGTTGTCTCTGTCCCCTTTTTTGAACTTGACCCAATTTAACTATTCTGAAGGAGTGGGAGAGCAAAACCAGTGTTTGGATGCATGGCAGCTACCTAACGCTTCATTAATATTGGACAGATGTGGTCACTTTCACATCTGCTGTATATGAATGTTTTTAGTAATAGGAGGTTTTGGGGGCATTGGGGAAAGCAATTACGGGCTTGTGTTAGGCAGTGTTTAATTGTACAGGTCTCACATTCAGCATCTGTTACACATGATTAGCCTCTGGAGCCTGCAAGCTAGAATGAGCAGCAGGGCGTGACCTGAGGTAGGTAAACTTGAAAGCAAACATCTTACCTATTTTTAAAATGACACTTCTTCAGACTGGAGGTTACAATTGCTGAGGCTGTTCACTAGACCTCCTATTTGCATTTCACTTCTGATTTTTGTGTACCCTATGTATTTGCAGAGTTCTAGATGCTTTACATTCCAGTAGGGAGTGCTAACCTTTACTTATGAATTGTGTAACTTCCTTCTGTTTAAAGCCTTCTGCTCTGCCATGACAGAATGTATTCCTACTCTTAAAACTGAGTGAAAGATTGCTTTAAAGAAAACTGTGCGGTCACTGGCTTCACCACCGGTAACACTTCTGTTAACATTAAAAAGGAAGACTTTATGGGTGCCAGAACTGTAATTCTTAAGACCAGTGTCTCTTTTTTTTTAAGTAAGAAATATTTTTCCACTAAAATGTCAGTGTTTGACTTGACATTTAAGGACAGAAAGATACCCTGACTGCATACGTGCTGTTGGCTAAGGGACAGAAAGGGACAGAAACACGGGAAAGGAATGTTGCGAGGGGAGAACACATGAATGAAAGTAGAAAACAACAAAGTGAATAGTGCTGGGTAGATAACAGAGCATAAAATGTGAAATTGTGTTTTGCTTTTCAGATGTCTGTTCATGGTTACCAACACACAGTTCCAAAAGATAAATGAATACAAAGTTCTTACCGTGATAGTCCCCACAAAGCCAAAAGATTGGCTAGCACCTTGTAAGTTACAGCTAGGGGCAAGTATGTGTCCATCGTTGGTGGAACAGTCTGGCACTGAGTGGAGCACATAGCTTTTGCCTTAACCAAAAGACCGTTCCTGTGGCTGGGATCAGAACAGGAACCTGATTAAGCTTCACTGCACTGAGTACAATAACTGGTTTTGAAAATGTACGCGTTCGCGAGCAAAAAGCATTATATTGTATTAAACCAGTCTGGTAGGAAAAAGAGACAGCTAAAAATCAACATCATGGGTACGCGATGTCCTTTTACCCTTCTCTTCGGGACAGGCAGACTTTTACAACAGTAAAGTATGTTTACCAGTTTAGGTTATATCTCAGGTACTGTCGTGTAGGCCTGGTGTAGTCCATCAGAAATGTAAGCAATTTTACAAACCTTCTTCTGAAAAGAGCTGATAAATCCCTTGCTGGATTTACCACAGATTTATTCTACCACTTACGCTTTAAGTGGCAGTTAAGAGGACTGGATTCAGTCTACAAAATGAAATTCCTATAGTGTGTGTCCGCTTCATAGTATCTAGCTATTAACTAAATTTCCACAGGATTTTAAACTAATTGCATGCAAAGATATACACTGAAAGGAATTCATGTAGACAGGGACAAAAAATTACTTCCTTAGAAATACTTATATTTCTACAGCCTCCATATTTTGCCCAATTATATTATGTTTCAGCAGATGCTTTTGAACAACACCAAAAAGTAAAAGGAACACTTAACTGTGTTGTATGTTTCCTATTTTCTGGCATTCCTGTGTTTTTTTAGATCCTGCCTTATTCAGAAAGCCCTCTGCTAAATGATACCACTGTTTCAGTGTGTTCTAGGCAATAGTTATTGATTTTAAACTATTATGCAGAGCTGTAGACTTAACTAGTCTGCAAGGATGCAAATCTGTGCAAAAGTACCTCCTCAAATGGAAATGGAGAGGCTTTGAAAAAAAAAAAATTAATGTGTTAGTATCAGCAGAACAAGCTAAAAAGTCTACAAAGACCAGGCAATAAAGTACTCACAATTTCCATTCACAGATCTACTTGCTTAGAATTAGGTGGGATGTTAATAGCCATATATGCACCAGAAATGGACAAAAACTTTATTCAAAACAGACGCGTCTCTTGGAATGCATCAGGACAAATCATCAGACTGCATTAACCCAGTCGGACTCGATCCCCAGAATTGAAAACATTTAATGCACATTCTGTGGGTTTTTTTAATGTCTTTTGGACATGTTATGAGTATTTTCAGTTCATAAAAATAGTAGAAAAGATGAAACTGGTGTTAATGCAATAGGAATATAGCATTTGTTTATTTACTAAAGCACAAATGGCACGAACTGCTCGCCAACGCAGTGGCTTTATGACCTCGTGTCCTGAAATACCTGCTGGTTGTGCCAGAAGGGTGAAGTCTGGTACAGCACGTCCAGGGCAGCTTTCTGGGAATAAGTTTTACTGGTCTGGTACTGCTGAAGGTAAGCACAGATATTTTCAGTACATGGATAGCTTTTATTATACCCATAATCAGTAAGAGTCATTGTGGTTTTCCACGTATGTTTTTGTTCCTGTTGGATATATTTGGAATACTGTCTTTCAGGCTGTCCTTCCATTCACTTTCACTCCAAATGATTTTGCCTTGCATCACTTTAAAGGTTTCTTTACATCCTTCATTTCATGTCCTGTATCAAGTGTCCTTTAATTACCACAGTAATAAAGATTTGAGGGGAGAGTATATTCAAATGTAGACTTTTCAAACTCCAAGACCAAACATGAAGACGTAGGAAATACCTGTTATGTACAAAGTGAAAGTCTTCTCTACATCTGCACTTCCAGTAGTATTGTGTGCTATAAGAATTACTTCCTACTAATTCCTACCAAGCACAAATACCATGTCAGCAGGTTCTCAGGGGTAAGTTTAGAATGATAGAAATATTAGAAACTGCCAATGGACAGGTAGTGCTGCTTGCACTGACAGGTTTTATTTTAAAATTGAAGATGCAGCATGGCTGTAAAATTCATACTGTTCCTAGGCAGTATTTTAAGCCAGATTAGTTTAGGTTCATAGTTACGTGGTAATTACAGGCTTACTTGAAAGCAAGTGACCTTGCGACAAGGTATGTGCTAACATACTGTTAGCCTGTTTACCTGCTACTAGACAGCCTTTTTTTCCTTTGTCATTAATAGTGAGGTTTTATGTTCAGTACTAGTCCAGAGTCTGTATATGGGAGCCCAGGGCCTGCTGGGATAGGGTTTTACACTTGTGCTGTCCTTTTGCCCTTCCACTGAACTCTTTTCATTTCAGTCATGAGCAAACAGTCAGTGCCTGAACTAACAACCCTGCAATCCTCCAAAGCACGCCTCGCTTACAGTACCAAACAAAGGGAGGCCCGCGTGGGCCGGCCCAAGCCAAGGAATGCAGCTTCGGGGTTCTGCTCCATAAATTTAACCAGCACGACAAAAAGGAGATAATATGAGCCTTCGTGATGATCTGAAAGGGGGAGGTTTGTGTCCCATTGATTGCGGTCTGGCCTATTGCCAGGCCCCGAGCCTGACCGACAGTTGAACCATATCGTTAAGGCGTGTAATACAGCTCAAGTCTTGTACAGCAGCCAATGAGTACATATCCAGAGGGCAAAAGTTTATAAAGAGTTGAGGCTGTCCTGTTTAACCCTCTCACACTGCATGTAATATATACTGCTGCCATTCAGAAATAGTCACATTGCTATTAAAAATGTAAACTTTCAACTTTCTTTACTTGGAAAAAATACATATGTGTCCGATTTCTAATGTGCAGCAGATTTATAAAGTGATCTGAGAAAAATATGTAAAACTGATCCTTTAAAAAAAAATCCAACCCACTTTTTTTCAGTACTTTATCCATGGAGTTAGTTACTTTTGTGTTCAGAGATGTCTTCTGGGTTGTTATACAAACTCTTTCATACAGATGGAGCTATTTATTGCCTTGATGTCACCTCATTTAGCATGGGGTTGGTATTTTTATAGATAATTTTTTCACCTAATGTTGCTGTTAACATGTGGAACGCTCTTTATCAGTTTTGTGAACACCAGCCAGTTGATTTGAATTATTCTTGCAACTCTTAACTTTAAAGATCAAAACAAACTTTCTGAGGAGGTTTATCACGTAGTGAAGTTTGTTCTAGCAGTTCTTTGCCATTCCTGTTGCAACACCAGTTGTACTGACTGAAAAGTATATGAAGGAGGGTATGAAGAGAAAATGCACAGGGCCACCGTAGTTTTTTTCACATAGTCCTTCATGCACAACTAGCAGGTTAATGTTGAGCAGGAGCCAGTGGTTTGCTTTCTCCCTGAAAGAGGCTTTCCCAAAAAAATGGCAGTACAAACAATATGTTATCATTTCTTAAGCGAGGCAAGTTCAGCTCTTGTTCAGATGAGGTGTTTGCAAGAAAGCCCTGCTAAAAACTGCATCTTTTGTACGGGAGCATTCCTCAACACCTTGGTGAGACAGCAATCTTCAAGGTGAAACTCTAGTAATACCATTCTGCAATCAGTACAGGAAGAGCCCGTGTTAAATTGGAAACTGAGAATGCAATGTTACCTTTTTTTTCATTTGTTAAGGTTGATGATATCGAAGTGCTTGAAAAAGTATTAAGTTTGTCACACTGTTATGTAGTCAGAGGTGGAGAAGTACCAAAGGTTGAACAGTGGTTGATGCACAACTGTGGTAAGTGCCATGCAGTTGTCCGGTATACAAGCACATGTAAATTACATATGCAGCTCGTGGATTTCTAACATGGATGTTTCAATAATGTGTCATTTTGGTGAGTGTATCTGCTGCTCCCCGTTTATAAGGAAGTGATTCTTGATGTCTTAATTTCTTCTCACTTCCTTTTGAACTTGGAGCCTGAAGAGGTTGTATTCAATCATAATCCCAATGAATAGTATTCAGTTTTGGTTTGATGTCGTACACAAAAGAAAGGGGGGAGGGGAGAAAATAGCTCCATCTCAGAGAAGTTGGCAGGAACAGCCTACATGATAAACAGTTACTTCTTCAGCATGCTGCAGCTCTCTGAAAAGCATATTGGGTCAGATAAAGGTCTTCAGTATCTGAGCTGGTAGATCCCTCAAAAGAGGAGGGATTTGACTATAAGTGGGAGGTTTTAACCCTAGGCACCATTTATTTGCATGTTTCTGCCTGAAACTAGCATTTTGGGAACACATTTAACAAGTACAATATATTCCATGTATTTGCTGGAATAAACGGTGCATATAAAGCTTCCTCAGATATGCAGTCAGCAGGGAGCTGTCTGGCTCATGATTTTACACATTCTTGCATCTAACAGATATTCTAATGCCAAATCCTGTACTCAGACTGTACTGCGTGCATATTTGTAACACACCTTAAAAGTATCTTTGTCCCAGTTGGTGAATGAACGCCATCACAGATCTGTGCCAACTCTCTGGGTTGCAGGTGGCAGATTTTTCCAAGAAATCATAAGCCCAACACAGGGAAGTGGGCGCCTTACTTATGAGTAGGAGATAGTAGTTACCATTTGCCAGTACAGTCACAATGAACCCATGTAATTGTCATAAAGTTCTCTGAAGCTGGGCCCAAGTCATGTAATGTTTGCGTTCTCAGATGCAGAGAACATGTGGTTAACAACTTTCTGCTCCTTTATGCTCAGTAAATGTGGAGTACATTCCTGCTTATTGCCATGGTGCAATATTTGAAACAAAGTACATGTAAGTATATCAATAAGGAGTCATGGAAATGGTGGATTTTTACTATTTTGCAGAAGCGTGTTAGGAAGTAACAGGCCTTACCAGAAATGGCATACATTTGCTTTTGTTTATTATTCTTATATTCCTGTGCTATGAGAGCATCATCTGTAATTTGGTTGTGATTGTTGAACTTTGAGGTCATTCTTAATTGATTCTGGGACTTCTTATGCTTTATGCTGTGCTCTCCAATCATGGATTTGTAAGACAGACCAGTGCTGCCTTCATTCTGCATTTTGTAGGGATGCATTATGCATGGGATGATGATACTTACTGAAGGGCTGCAGGTAAAATTGTCTTGAACAAATGTGGCAAGTACTTAAGTTATTGCATATTTTATA